CCAATAGTCAAGAAATCGACTTGCCAAAGGATGGCTTCGCGAAGAACGGGAGCCAAGTTCTTTGGGTCGCAATCGTCAGCTTTTAGAGAAATCTCGTTTGCAAATTGCTGTTGGATTCTCCTGAGCCCGGGAGTGATCACCAGAGAAAGGTGTCGTTGAAGGGCGAAGGAAACAGCGGCAGGTGAGGAGAGAAATTGAGATGTGGAGAGTTGTTAGCAAGAAAGTTGCCAGCGAAGAGCACGCAGTCAGAACCAAAAGTGGTGTATTCGAGTCAAACCAAAAATTGGAAAATTGATAAATTTAAACAACGCATATGTTGAGCTAAGGTCCCACATGATAAAGTTCGTTCTAAAGAGGCAACCTGGCTTGGTGAAATATCTTGAGGGAAGGCTACACTGAAATCAATATTACAAATAAACTTAAACAGTCGGTAAGAATCGAAAATTAATTTTAGAATTTCTGCTGAAATTTTACGAGATGGGAAATATACTGTTTGTTTAAGTTCATAAATCGAGTTCATAACAAGACGCGCCCTTTGCTACTGTTCTCTGGGTTGCCGTGGTACCCTTAGTTCTCGGGATGAAGTTGTCGCTCTTTCAAAGTTTCTTTCGAAGACTATACTCAACTGAAGTTCGCGCACATGGGGTCGGCGTCCTCAGAAATCCGTGTACGAACAAGGTAATACTTTCTAGTGCAAGTTACCTGTGCTATATTTTGTACTATATATAGTACTATAGTACGGAGCACTTGTGCCCCTAATAACAATTTCGACTCGAGTAGAATCTGTACAGACGGCATTCGCCATCTTGTGCCGGTTACCATATATGATCACAGCTTTAATTATAGACATGGTCACGGAACCGCAGTCGTGGCCATTTTGGGCATGTTTTTTTATATAAAATACTCGAATTAGAAGAACTCTAAACATGTCAAGCCCTCTGCAATTTTCACCTTTATGTTGGAGTGATCCAACTAAGTTGGATTATTGCAATCCAACCTTCTTAGTAGTTATACACATCTGTAGAAAACTATAGTTTTGTAATCTAAAGGTTGGAAATATTTTCTCATTGTTCGTGCTTGCGGTTGTCTTGACCCTGCATTATGCACTAAGTTGGATTTTGTCTTTGTCATTCTGTCTAATTCTGATTCTTTTTGGCAGGGATAAATGTAGAGTAGGGGTAGGGAAGGTTGTGTATTACCTTCCCTTTGCATACTAACTGAAGCCGTCCAGGAAACGTATGGGCACATTACCGATTACTATGCTTTGGGACATCGCAGAAATGTCTTGTGCATTGTTAATGTAATAGTTTTTTCCTACTATCGTTCCTATCTGCAGGTAGGCTAGAGAATGCCCATAGATGAGGCTAAAAGTCCCCCTTCGAGGCCATATGATGTATGAACCTACTTGTCATATCTACTTCAGTTGTTGGCTTGTCGAAACGATACCGAATCGTTAGCCCAGAATATTATGCAAAACCGAACCGAACATCACGGGACTAGCAACAACTATATGAGCAGCTAGCTTTTGCTGCCGGTAATCGATCCATACATTCAAACCTGAATGCCCATACCCTGTTAAGATAAGGCTAAATTGACGACAGGCGGTGGACTGCGTTACTAGATGAAGTGACTAGACCAGTATCGCTTCAGTTTCGATCGGCAAGTACAGCTCAACAGTGGATGACCCCAAGAGAGTCTGCTCGTTATATACTACTAAACAGCAAACGCATCCTATAAATTTAATACATTTATGCATTTGTTGTCTTTGTTCGATTGTGAATAGGAATCGCTAGCGGCTAGAATCCTTGTTCTACTGGTGTCGTCTTAACTCTTTACAACTTATGTGAAGGAAACCCGAACTTATCCTCCCTAATTTTGAGTATCATAACCTATAAGATCGTTTGTTTACTCTGCTTGGTGACATCCGTGATTGTCCAGTTGCCCTGGACCATGCAATTTTGCAATCTTTCTATGACTGACGCTGCCTCGATGAGCTCCTTTTTACTGTTGGGCCTAATAATAGGACTTTGAAATATCCTTCTATTAAACTGTGTATCTTAAAATTTCTGTACGTGGTGTTTAAAAGAGGCACCTAAAACTATGCTCGTCGTTCCTTTGCGCGTTTTGCTTCTGTTATAAATGATTCAACTATGCAGTTATATAGCCAGGACTGATCGCTGGTTATCCTGCCTCTGAACAAGTACGCCATTTTACGTGTACCTTATAAACCATAAGACGTTTTAAAAAACTTTAGATTAAGTGCTGTAACTTGTAATCTGCTTTAGGGAACTGCCTTTCCCTTACATGAGCGACAGCTTCTTGGAATTCATGGACTTCTCCCACCCGTGGTGTCCGATCTGAACACGCAGGTTAAGCGTATGATGGCGAATCTCAGG